AAATAAATTTGTATAAAAAATATAAAAATAAATATTAATTTTAAAATTAATGTCATAGATAAATTACTAAATAATTAATAAATTAAATATTATTTTAAAAAAAAACTCTTAACTTATAACTTTAAGACACACGTTAAAAAAACATTTTATAATTTTATATGAGATTTAATTATAATATTATAAATTATTATTTCCCATCTTTAAGTAGATTCAAATGTTACTCTTCCAATTTCTAATCACTGCACAGATTGTCCGTTGATATGGTAGTAGGGATGCTAATGGGGTCTCGCGGGGTTGGAGAGTCCCTCTCCGTCTCCATCCCTGTTCCTGTCCCTGTCATTCACAGGAATGAGGATTCCTGCGGAGATTTTTTACGGAGTAAATTTTGCCCCACATCTCCATTTTCTGCCAATTAATACTAAAGTATATATTTTTTGCATCAAACATAAATAAAAATTGATTTACATAAATAATTAAATCAATAAAATTGTTTCAAATAGAGATTAATCTAACATAAAGCAAAATGTTCCAAACATAAAGCAAAATGTTCCAAACATAAGTTGTTTCAAATATAAATAGAAATTAATCCAACATAAAGCAATATACTTGTTCTAAATATAAACAAAAATCAACCAAACATAAATAAAATAACTAAAGCAACATTTAGTATGAAGGGAAGCAGCCAAAAAAGCCAATTCAAAACACTTTTAAAGGTTTGGGTTGGGTTTGGATTTTATTTTAAAGGTTAAATTAAATTTAAAATATATATTTTTTAAATGTTTTGTGGGGATAGAGATCCTTGCGAGATATCGAGAGTTGAGAAAAATTTCTTGCAAAATTTTATGGAAAGAAAATTTCTCCCATTTCCGTCCCACCCCGTCCCCATAATCGGAATCCCCACAAAATCCCACGAGGACCGGGGGAAATTGCTACCCCATATGGCAGGGGTATCAATCCTTCGGCATCAAAGTCTGATGTAATAAATTTGTTCAATTTGTATTTTTTTAGGTTAAAATTGTGTGGTTTCAACTTTTAACTCTCGTTTTACTAGTATTTAAAACATGTTTAATAGTTTTATTTAATAAAAAGTGATTTAAATTGTCATTTGTATATTTTATAACAAAAATAAAAAAAATTGAGTTTTATTTAAGAAATTAATGTTTATTAATTAAATATTTAAAAAAAAAGAAAAAAAAAAGAAAAGACTAATATCAATTTATTATTATTTTTAAAGTAAATAATTTTTAATAAAAACTTATTAAAATAACATAATTTTAAAATTTTCTCCTCTTAATCTTTCAAAAATCTTGCTGATAAACACTTGTTCTTTTATTTGATTTCAACCCTTTTTTTAAAGATTTGATTCGAAAAGAATGACCAAAACAGAGAACACGCATGAACTAAGCACCAGAAAATATGTCCAGATTCATTAAACTAGGCTCCACAAGGCCCAAAAAAGGGGGAGAAAAGTCTCCATCGGTCCATCCCATTACCCCACCACAACGATGATCCATTGCATATTTAAGGATGATGTTTTTTTTTTTTCGAAAGGCAATTTAAGGATAATGTTAACACCTGGTCTTACTGTCTATAATTATAAGTTGAGTCGTAAGGTGCATTTAACTCAAACCACCGAGTTTAAACTCCTCCTCAAATATAAACCTGTTAAAAAAAAAAATTAAGGATGATGTGAATATAAGATTTGTGGGAAAAACTGAAAAGGTGGTTTTTGCCTTTTGTGGGAAGAGTAGTCCTTTCGGCCACCAAAGGGCCCAAGGACCGTAGGGGACAGCTTGAATCGAAGAGAAGGGGTTATGACCACCGCGCTCCACCAACCCTAACAGCCTCACTTTAATCATGATTCCAAAAACTATAGCCTTCTATTAAAGCAAACAAACGAATATAATGATATTTGGGATTGGTAGGTCCAATTCACCACCCAAAGAAACTTCCTAACATTGGCCCTGCTCTGCAACTACGGAAATGCCAACATTGTCCTTTTAATCAACTTCCATGGTGGAGCTTTTGTCATGATTACAAATACAATTAAGTTGTCAAAGTAATAATTAGCATTCTTTTTCTTCTTTTTTTGATTTTTTGTAAAGTCTAGTGAAACAGCAAGACATCTATCACAAACTAAAAAATTAGTGAGGAATTACTTTCTTTTCCAAAAAATTTAATTTAATTAATAAAGGTAAGAATAAATTTCATTATTAATTAAGTTACAATTCATTTCATTTAGTAGTGTCTTTCTTGTTTGTCTCATTTTTGTTTTACTATGCATCTTACTTTATTAATTCAATAATAATTGTTTTGTTTGATTTTTTCACTTTTAAAACAAGTTTAGATAGAAATTTAATAAAACATATAAATGATAATTGAATTTTTTTTATTAAGTGAAACTACTATATAAGAACTATGTATAAAAAAAAAAAGAAAATTTTCAATTGATATTCATTTATTATGTAATATTTTTTACTTGAATTTTTACTTTTAAAAGTAAAAGAGTCAAATCAAAACCATTATTATTGAACATAATAATTATTTTATATGTCGTGGTAATATGAGTCAAATTAATAACCTATAGATTATTACACCACTCAACCACTAGTTAATTATATTAAAAAAAAATTAGTTAGTGGGGAGTGAGCTAACATCATTTTTATATATATTGAGAACTTTAATCCAACTCCCCAACTACTAGAATTTCCCTTTAGTTTTTGTGAGTTAAAAAGGGTTTCTAAGGAAAAGAAAAGCTAATTTCCAAAAATAAAGGTATTAAAAAAGTTGATATCATAATGTTTTACCAAAAAATGCAGAGACTTGGATGTTAGTTTACCCACTACTTATACGAGACGATGATGAAATCTGAACCCCTCACTTTGAAGCGACTGGACCTGTGACCTGTCCTTAGTTGCAACAACAATGGTCTCAACTTCCCTTAGCTAACCCCCATCTAAATGTTTAATTTCACTGAAATCTTGTTTTTAACCTCACAGGAACTTGAATCCGGCAGCAAATGGACAGAAGGAGATCCATCTCGCAGGGCCAAATGGTGGTACTCAACCTTTCACACTGTTACCGCCATGATAGGTGCCGGCGTTCTCAGCTTGCCTTATGCCATGGCCTACCTAGGATGGTATGTTTATATTTGCAGAACTTGACTCTAGAATCTAAGGTTTTAAGGTTAACGAGTACTAATTCTACTAGATACATATATTTTGAAACAAAATTCCTCTTTCAGGGGTCCAGGAATCATGGTGATGATATTGTCTTGGTGCATGACCTTGAACACGATGTGGCAGATGATACAACTCCATGAATGTGTTCCTGGAACTCGCTTTGATCGCTATCTTGACCTTGGCCGTTATGCTTTTGGGCCAAAACTTGGTCCCTGGATCGTCCTCCCTCAGCAGCTGATTGTTCAGGTCGGGTGTGATATTGTGTACATGGTCACCGGAGGGAAGTGTCTCAAAAAGTTCATGGAGATATCCTGCACCCACTGCACACCACTCCGGCAGTCTTACTGGATCCTGATTTTCGGCGGCCTCCATTTCTTCCTGTCTCAGCTCCCCAATTTCAACTCCGTAGCCGGTGTTTCATTAGCTGCAGCAATCATGTCCCTTAGGTCCTCAATTCAGTTCATCTCTCCTATTTCAATACCTTAAAATTGGACAGAAAAGATTAGTCTCGAGAAATACTTAAATTAACAGAGTACGTTTGAGTCCCCCACTGTCTATTTATAAATAGATTAACATTATCTTGGGTTGTTATTGCAGTTATTCAACTATAGCATGGGCCAGTAGCCTGGCTCATGGTCAGGTGGACAACGTGAGCTATGCATATAAGAATGCGAACCCGACTGACTACATGTTCCGTGTCTTCAACGCACTGGGTCAGATTTCGTTTGCATTCGCCGGCCATGCAGTTGCTCTTGAGATTCAGGCCACGATTCCATCCACTCATGAGAAGCCTTCCAAGGTTCCCATGTGGAAAGGTGCCATCGGTGCCTATTTTATTAACGCAATCTGCTACTTTCCGGTGGCCCTAATAGGATATTGGGCGTTCGGACAAGATGTGGATGACAATGTGCTGATGGCACTCAAGAAACCTGCCTGGCTCATCGCCGCTGCCAACTTGATGGTCGTCGTTCATGTCATTGGAAGTTACCAGGTACGTACAAATTGACTGTTCAGAAGAATCGGAACAAAATTAATTAGCTTAAGGAAGAAGATGCTTAATTGAGAATGTTCATTGACAATAAAATATTCTTATAACATTACATGGCTAAATTCAATTACTTTAATACGGATGTGAGACATGAATAATGGTACATTTATTCTTTGTTGCCCTTTACACAATGTAAGATTTATATTTAACTCCTTATTTAACCTTTTAAAATTTAAAGTTATTAATCTTCCATTTAAAAAGTTAAGGCTATTATTCCCTTTAATAATATGATTTGAGAAAATTCCTTTTTAATTAATGAATTTGAAGTGCATACCATTAATCAAATATTATCTTTATTCTAGCAAGCAAGACATCAATATTTCTATTTTATATAGTACATCAGCATGACGAAATTTTGAATTTTTGTTTTGACTTTTTCTCTTTTTATTAAAAATTAAAAATTATTTAGTATACTGGAGTGAGACTTGTATTATATTAAGGGAGAATTTTCTATTGATTGTCATAATGATATACCACATAAAATAGAGATGCTCATGTGTAGCTAATTAGGATAAAATAACAACTAATTAATAGTGTGTATTTTAAATCTATTAAATAAAAGGAATTTCCCAAATTATATTGTCCAGCAACTAATAATACCTTTAAGTTTTTAAGTAAAAGGCTAGTAATCTTAAAATCTATAAATTAAAGGACTAAATAAGAGGTTAAGCCTAAGTCTTATAATGTAATTTTCATTGTAAAATAATCAGAATTGTTAATTTAAGAGTTTCTACTCCACCACTTTTACGGTTTTACCTGATCTTTGGATACATGGACAAGTTTAACAGGTTTATGCTATGCCGGTGTTTGGTTTGCTGGAAGGGATTATGGTGAAACGACTAAAGTTCCCACCTGGATTTGCACTCAGACTCATCGCTCGTTCAACTTTTGTTGGTTAGATTACATATCTCATTGCGCTATTTCTCAATCTCTGAATTGAAGCCATGAAAAGGGAAAATTGAAATCGCCTTAATTTTATCTTGAATATATTGCAGCTTTTACATTGTTCATAGGAGTCACCTTCCCATTCTTTGGAGATCTTCTTGGTTTCTTTGGTGGATTTGGTTTTGCTCCTACTTCATATTTTGTATGCCTCTTTTCTTTCTCTTTAATTTGCTTTCTGAACTTTTTCTCAGGTTTTCTTCTTGTAAATTGGTATATATGTCCTGCTAGAAATTAATCTACAATCTTGATTATCACTTGCAGCTTCCGAGCATAATGTGGTTAATCATCAAGAAACCAAGACGATTCAGTACTAAATGGTTCATCAATTGGGTAATCATAAGTTACATATTCATTGATTAGTAGTGTGATATTCCATTAGTATAGTTGATATTAATCTCATGCAAAGTTTTATTTCTTGGTTTTTTTTTTTTTTTCCAGGCTTCTATATTTGTTGGACTATTCATTATGTTGGCATCAACAATTGGTGGTTTAAGGAATATCGTCGCCGATGCTTCAACTTATAGTTTCTATACATGAAAATACTAATCATGAAGATGAATGTCAATTAATTTGGAGAGATGTAAACTGAGCTTTGGAGGACATTTAATTATCTTAGATTATATCTTTCTAAGTATTTGTTATCTTGAGCAAGGAATGAAGATAGAAAGGTTAATGTCTCTTTTAAGGAAAGTAAGAGTTGTTTGAATTACAGGTGTGGGGTTGGGTAGTTATTGGAGAGACTTTTTTATTGTAGAAGTCTAAATTAAAAAATAAGGATAGAAACTTTTTAGTTAATAACAATATTTTGTTAGTTAAAAATAGAAGATTTAAAAAAAAAAAAAAAAACAGTTGAGGTGTTCTTTAATCAATTTATATATATGTCAAGAGTAATTAATCTCAAAAA